ACCCCGGCTTGGGCCCCGGGGATCGCCGCATGACAACGTTGTCGGAGAGTGCGTGAGGTCATAGACGCCGTAGAACGTTTGATCATGGTGCCTGGCGAGCGTTATGACCCGCAGGTACTCACAACATATTTGTGATGTCTGCCCACAGAGGTCAATAATAAGTTGGTGGACGAGGCCTCCATTTCGGCAAGAAGGCCTTAGATATAGAGGCCAAGCTTGGGACCGCACAGCAGGGACCGGTGCATGGTAGGAAGAAGAAGCTTCCCTATGATTGGAGGAAGAAGGCAATCTCATTTCGTCGACCATGATGGTGAGGTGATTGAAATTGCCGACTTCCTTAGTTATGGGGAAGTCTTAGAGTAGGATGGGGCTAGTGAGTTTTCGGATGGGGGAGTCGCAGCTCCTACCAAAGAAAAGGCTAAGGGGACCGGGAAACATAAGATAGGCCGTTTTAAGGGTCAAGGCGACCAAGGAGCACCAGTCCGGGTGCGACTTGATTTAGACTACGAGGTGTGGAGGGACCAAGTTGCTAGGGCACATGTCTTAATTGTGGCAACTTTGGTAACATGTCTAGAACTTGCTGAGGCAAGAAGGTCACAACGAAGGTAACCTCCCCTACAGTGGTGGGCTTATCTTCGAACTCTGGCGGTGCATCTGCGAGCACTTCATAGGGAACACCTCGGGCCAGTAGGAGTTTTGGCCGCTCTTTCCCGTGTTGAGGTGGTAGCATTGCCTTCCCCACTTTAGGCGTTGACCAAGGCTACTGACCCACTCGTCACCCCGCAGACACATGTAGACCAATTGATGCTCTGTTTGGGAGATGTGTCGGAGTCCTTAGAGGAGTTAGAAGCTGGGTGGTCAGGGAAGGACCTCGGAGACTCTTGGGCGATGATTAGTAGACACTCGTGGTTAATAGGTGGTGTCGTTTTCAGTGAATTTTTCACCAAAGTTGCCATATATCCTTGAATTTTCGTTTTTTTCTTGTTTTTGTTTTTTGTTTGACATGTATATCCTCTAGGGTATATCTGTATTTAGTTTCAACGTATTTGGACCAATAACAAGAAAGTTGGCAAAAACACCGAATGTGGGAAAAGTTCTAGTGAACTCTGAAAGCTACTCCGAATAGGGTTTTATAGTGCTTTTGAGTTTTTTTTTTGCTTTTTTTTTTTGTGTTTTTTTTTTGCCTGTTTGTTTTTTTGGTGTTGCAAAATTTTCGACGACATTGCTTGTAGTGATGCGGCGAAAAACCTCGAATTTTGGGTCTTCCATTAACCATCTCTCTTTGTAGAGGTCCTAGAGGTGAACATTTTGTGGTGGAGGTTGATGTAGGTGGCCGCAAAGTGGGTGCCTTCACAAACATAGGTTTTGCACGAAACTTCATCAGTCGTGCTTGTGTGGACAGGCTGCGCTTAGGGGACCAAGTGCAACATCTAAGCAGATTTGTAGCATCCACGTTAGCCAAAAAGCACAGTATGGTTGTCCAAGACTATGTCAAGGTCGTAGTCTACACCTTCTCCTATGGAGGAGGGGAACTGAGACACAAGATCTCGTTCCTTGTCAGTGACGAGTTGTCATTCGATATGTTGCTAGGTATGTACTACCTCGAGGTCGCAAAGCCACAATTTGATTGGGATAGAAAGGTGATGATCCACAAGTTGCCAAACAGAAGGACCGTTAGACTGCAAAAATATAAAGCCAGCAGGCTAGTGGAGAACTATGGTTGCATGTGTGCTTAGGCTGTAAAAACACCGCCAGAAATAGAAGTAGTCGTTGTGAGCTATCCGCATCTTTTTGAAGGGATGTGGTAGAAAGGGAGGTGATCCATGCGATAGAAATCGTCCCTGGTAGCAAAGTACCTAGAGGACGGATCTATAGGATGTCGTCTGCATACTTGGATGAGCTTCGCTGCCAACTCAAAAAGCTCACAAAGAAGGGCTGGATTCGGCCTAGTATTTCCCCCTATGGAGCCCTAGTTCTCTTTGTCCCAACGAAAAGGGGGACCTCTTGGATAGAGGCCTCAATGTCATCACCGTTGAGAACACAAAGCCTCTACCTCGCATCGATGACCTCCTGCATAGAGTGCAGGGATGTTGGTACTTCACAAAGATAAATCTGAAATCCGGATACCATCAAATTGTCTGTACAAGTTTGTGGTGATGCCTTTTGGATTATGCAATGATCCTGGCACATTTCAGCGCGCAATGAATCGGATATTTCATGACTACTTAGATAAGTTTATCGACGATATCCAAATCTTTAGTAGGATTGTAGAGGAGCACGCTAAGCACTTGAAAATAGTGCTAGGTCTCTTAAGACAGCACCAGTATAAGGTAAACTTGGAGACATGCAAATTCGGTCGCGCCGAGATCTTATACCTGGGTCATGTGATCCCCGCGGAAGGATTGAGGCCAGGCGATGCCAAAGTGGTCAGCATACGTGACTGACCCACACCTCAGACTGTTACTAAGGTCCGGTCGTTTTGGGGGATGACGGGCTACTACCGTCCGTTTGTGAAGAACTATAGCACTATAGCTTCCCCATTAACAGACCTAACCCGCCTTGACACCCCTTGGGAGTGGACCGAAGAGTGTGAGGTAGCCTTCAAGAAATTGAAGTATGCTTTGACACACTGAAGTTCTCAAACTTCTGGATCCTGAGCAGCCCTTTGTTGTGACCAAAGACGTCAGCCAATATGGCATAGGCGCGGTCCTTGCGCAGAAGGAGGGGGAAAAGTAGAGGCCCATCAAGTACATGAGCAAAAAGATGCCATCTGAGAAATTAGCTTAGTCCACGTATGAGGGAGAGTTTTATGCCCAATATAGAACGAAGAGTGTGAGGTAGCCTTCAAGAAATTGAAGTATGCTTTGACACACTATGAAGTCCTCAAACTTATGGATCCTGAGCAGCCTTTTGTTGTGACCAAAGACGTCAGCGAATATGGCATAGGCGCGGTCCTTGCGCAGAAGGAGGGGGAAAAGTTGAGGCCCATCGAGTACATGAGCAAAAAGATGCCATCTCATAAATTAGCTTAGTTCACGTATGAGCGAGAGCTCTATGCCCTATATAGAGCTCTGGTCCATTGGAGACATTACCTCCTAGGCAGATTTTTCTATGTAAGATTTGACCATGAGACTTTGCTGGATCAAGACACAGCTTGTGCTCTCTGATGCCCTGAAGAGGTGGATTGAAGTCATAGATATGTATGACTTCAAGCTTGACCCTCTGAAAGGAGAGTACAATAAAGTGGCTGATGTACTATCGCGGAGGGCAGACTATCCGGGCGCGCTAATAACTGAGTTTGGCATACATGATGATGTAACTTGATCCTTGGTGGAAGCCTATCAGGAAGACAGTTATGTCAGAGATCATCCGTAAGTTAGAAGCTAAAGACAAAGTCACTTATGACGAATTTATGGTAGTCAATGGCTTGTGGTTCCTTGAGAAGGCTGGAAATAAAAGACTGTGTGTGCCAGATAGGGAGTCTTTGCGTAGTTTGTTTTTAGGAGAATGTTGTGATGCAACTGGTCATTTTGATTATAAGAAGACATTAGCTAACCTAGTGCATAAATTTTGGTGGCCCTCTATGATGCAAGATGCAAAGAAGTATGTAGAGACTTGTCAGGTTTGCCAACGGGACGAACCAAGGACTCAGGCTCCGCTTGGGCTCATCAAGCCCTTGCCTGTCCCTGAAGGTCCACGTCAAAGTGTGTCCATGGATTTCATGGACACTCTTGTGGCCAGCAAGAGCGGTAAAAGACACATCTTCCTCATCGTCGACCGATTTACCAAGTACGCTAGACTGATTGCCATGCCAGAAATAACGAAAACTGTATATGTCATCAAGTTGTTCATGGATAACTGGGTACAGGACTTCGGGTTGCCCAAGTCAATCATTAGTGACAGGGACGTCCACTTCACCAGCGAAATGTGGCAGAGTACTGCTCAATAGATGGGCACCCGACTGCAAATGACATCAGGGAATTACCCTGAGTCAAATGGCCAGGCGGAACAGATGAACCGAGTAGTGCAGCACCTGCTTTGACATTACATCAAGCCCAGTCAGGATGACTGGGGTGAGAAATTACCTCTCGTCGCCAGCTTGTACAACAATGTTGTGCACAACACTACTAGCATGACTCCCAACCAACTGCATCTTGGTTGGAGGCCCAGATTCGCCCTTGATTTCCTACTACTTGAGAATCATCCATCTGCTGCACCCGGTAGCATAGAGTTTGCTGTCAGATATGAACAGATGTTGCAACAGGTTGTAGGAAAGCTCAAGATGCCATGGTTGCATCCGAGAACAAACATCGATGGCCATCTGAGTTTCAGGTAGGAGAATGAGTGTAGGTTAAATCATTTGAACTGGGTCAGGAGTTGGGAATTTCGCGGAAACTAATGCCTCAGTACTTTAGTCCCTGGGAGGTCCTAGATATAGTTGGGGATCAGATAGATGGACCTTCCTATGTGATTCGCATCCCTGCTCACTTGCGCACACACCCAGCCTTCCACGCTTCAAAGCTAGCACCTTTCTCAGAGACTGCACAGTTTCCTTCCAGATGATCAATGCTGCACCCAACCATGGATGGCGAAGTCGACATTGATGACATTGTGGAACACAGAGTGATGCCTGCTCCCAAGCCTCCCGGCAGAGGCCGACCTCCAAAGCCAAGGATGCAGTACCAGGTCAGATTCAGACATCACACTGATCCCAGTGAAGATCGGTGGTTTACCAGAGAGGGACTGCAGCAGACAGCTCCCCAAGTGAGTGCAGGATATGAAAGAAGACTTAAGGGGGAGATGCCTGCAAACTGAAGGACTTCTCAGGGGACTATCGAAGTAAAGGAGGACGGAAGGCGAGGATTTGGCTCCTCGGCAGGCCTAAGGGCCCCATTTTGACATGTGCCAGCCCTAAGTGAAGGCGGGCCTGAGAAAAACACGAGGGGCCCATTGTTGTCAATTTCGCATTTGGGGTTCAAGCAGTTGCGTCGCTCAGTTGGTTGGAGGAACCCAGGCCACTGCCAGCCACACTTTGTTTCGGCCTTCTCGCCCTTTCTTCGAAGCAGGCCCTGGGATGCATCTGCAGCAGTATACACGCCAGGCAGTTGGGAGGCATAACCAACTGGGGCCCAGGGTAGTAGTAGCAAAGGCCCAGCTACCCGGGGCCTACCGGAAGCTTTTGGGCACAGGCCCAGCCCCTCCAGGTCTCAGGCCAGGCTGAGCTCTTTCCATATAGGAAAGTGCTCACAACCTGAGCAGGCATCCGGGCACTTGCTAGTTTGCGGCAGCGCTGCTGGACGAGCGCTCGCGGGCTGCTGCTAGCGCAGAGCAAGGTGCAACGCGCGTGCGGTTGTGTAGAAGGAAGGGCGCTGATAAGGGCAGCTCCATAGCCCAGATTCCATAGCTGGCTGATGCGTCGTTGTACAGCAAGGGGTAGTGGTGGTCTTTGTGCATGAGGGAGAAGACTTGGGTGAAAGACAAGGGCGAGAGAAAGAGAGAGAGATGAGGATGAGGGCGTGAGGGCACATACCTGGTTTTGGCGATAGTCTGCAAGAGGCGACATCTTCATGTACTTCGGTGGCTGCTGACGTTAACAGTTGCATTGTCAATTCGTAGGCAGGAAGTAGTTGTGTGGGAGCAGTCTGGCGCCGAGCGCCAAGTAGGGGGAAGGGCCTGGATACTTATGTTGGTGATGACGAGAGTAAGCTCTCATTGACATTCGGTTTCAGTGTTTCGATTCTCCATTGGTATAATGTTGGTGCAATGCTGCTTTCTAGACACTGTCGGACTTTCTGGCTTTCATGTGATTGTGCAATCTGGATTTTATCATCTCCATATTGCTCATTTTCCTTGCACTTTTAAAACCATATTAAATGTTTTAAATTTCATTAAAATAACCGCAAATTCATTTAAATTAAATCAAAATTTCATCTTTTCTTTGAATTAATTTATTTCGGAGATTTCAAATCTGATTTCAATTAAAAAAAACTGCAAAATTCAAACATTTTCCTCTCTCCCATGACCTGCAGAACCAAGACTTCTCTGCGCGCCGCCGCAGCCACCGCCTCCACCGCTACATCTACTTCCTCCCCCCCGACCTCTCCCTCCACAATGGGAGAGACGGTTAACGGAGGTCTCAATTTTCAGACCACTACCCCAACAAACACCAAACTTGGCACACATAGACCTTCACCAAAAATAAAACAGGGCAAAAGAAAAAAAAAACAGAAAAAAATGAAAAAAATGATCTCCAATGCATTTTTTAGGGTTTAAGGGGTTAACCAAGGCTGAAAAGTGGGGGTCCCTGTTAACCGCTTGTGGAGAGCACAATGGGGGACAGTTCGTTAAGCATCAACATGAGCACCATTGACACTGCATCCGTCGACAGCATCCTTCGTGATCTCGCGGCAGAACAACCCGCACATGAAATCATCCCCACCAACACCTCCCTATTCACCATGATGCAATCCATGCAAGACGCAATCCGTTCCTTCCAAACCTCCCTCGCCACCTCCATCTCCGACCTCTCCAGCCGGATGGATAACATAGAGCAAACATCGACCCCTTCCATCCAAGTGGTTACCACCACGATTCCCACTTCCACTTTGGGTTTATTCTTACCCCACCTCCTCCTCCTCCCACTTCCACTCGCACTTCTACCGTTTCTACCTCCACTTCCACTGCCGGTCCATCCGCCCCCCCAACTTCTACCACCCCTATCCCAACGGCCATCACCGGCATGTCCCATCCACCTCCTCCCTTTAGCCAAAACTTCTCTGACACCACCTATCCACTCCATGAGCTCACCCGCGCCACCAAGTCCTTCACATGGACCGAACGCCGCCAAGCGACCTTTGACAACTCAAACACCTCATCAGTACTCCCCTTGTTCTCAAGATCTCTGACCCTTCTCGCCACGTCTGCGTTACCACCGACGCTTCAAACTTTGCCCTCGGTGTCGTTCTATCCCAACATTTCCCTCGCGACTCCCCCACCATCAAGGATTCCTTCACACACTCTGAAACATTTCCCAACGAGTACCCTATCGCATTCGCGAGTAAGATGTCCATCGCTGTTGAGATGAACTATGGCTCCAATGAGAAGGAACTCCTCGTCGTCATCTATGCCCTTAAAGTCTAGCGCCCTTACCTCGATGGCAAGTATTTTACCATTCGCACCGATAACACCGTCATCTCCAGTATCCTCACCAAAAAGGATATCACCCCTCGTCAGGCCTGCTGGCTGGATTTTCCCGTCTAGTTTACCTTCACCATCTGCCATAATCCCGTTGTTGTCGATGCCCTCTCTCACTGACCCGATCACAAGCCCCCTAAGAAAGCCTTCACTGCCATGACGCATGTCAACCTCCCCCAATCTCTTTACCATCGTTTCATCCATGGCTTCGCCTCCTGCCCCGACTTCGACCCTACGTACACCAAACTTCGTGACCTTGACATTGTCCCTGACTACTCCTCATCAACCATCTCCTCTACATCCACACCAAAGTAACCCGCCGCCTTTGCATCCCTTCCGATTGTGGTCTCCGTACCCAGTTCTTGGCTGAGCACCACGACGTGAAGATTGTTGGACACCTTGGTTTCCAGAAAACCTTTGACACTATCTCCCATTACCTTTTTTGTCAAAGCCTACAGCCGTTCTTGCCCTACTTGCCAAGCCAACCAAGCCAAGGCTGGCAAACTCCAGTCTCTCCGCATACTTACCCACCCCTGGGAATCTGTCTCGATAAACTTCGTCTGTGGTCTCCCCACGACCAACCATGGTCACGATTCCATCTATGACATTGTCTGCCACCTTACCAAACGCGCCCATTTCATCCCTTGTACCACCATCTGCCAAGCCAATGACCGTTTTTGCCCTACTTGCCAAACTATAGCGGACCTCGGGTTGGCCTGTGAGACCAGCCCCTTGGCCTGTTCTCACATGCCTGTGTTATATTCGGGGTAGGCCAGTCCAGGCCGGTACCTCTGCCGGTACCAGCCAGTCCAGTCCAATCCCGTCAGTCCGCTGGGGTATACACCAGCCATTGTCTGTTTTCAGTCTCATTCCTCAATTGCACATTTTGGAGTACGTGCGTTGGAGTCTTGCGTGGGGAGCTGCGTTGTGCCATCTTGCTCCCCCTTCTTCCTCCATCTCCATCTCTGTCGCTAGCGGAGCACCACACCTGGTGGGTCCGCTACATTGGTATCGAAGCGGGAACGGTCCCCGCCCCCACCCACCACACCGCACAGCAGGGAAATACAGCAAAACCCGACAGTCGGGTTTTCGGCTGTTTTTGGGGCGTTTTCGGGCAAAAAAGCGGGAACAACAACGAAATAAGGTGCTGCAGCAGGAGAGCTCCACGTGGCGAAAAAGGAAGCTGCATCACGACGCGTGCGCGCAAGAAAAAGGAAGCGGCATCACGACGCGTGCGCGCAAGCGCCAAGGCCAAGGCTGCAGCACGCGCTGCCCCGCTGCCCCGCCCCGCCCCGCTCCCGGATTTATATTACCAAGATCCGGGATGCAGCTGCTGCTGCTGGGGTTTGAACCCAGGCACCTGCCGAGCCATGCGCGTGCGTAAGCAGCCTCATAACACACTCGCCACAGTGTGCCTGTGCACGTGGCCATCTCCACGGCCACGTGGCTGATGATCCCCCTGCTTAGGAGGCTGCTCTACAGTGGAGAGGGCCTGCTCACACAGCAGACTCTACATCTACACATCTGCAGAAGTGCTGCTGGGGGCTGATCAAGATCTCAGCCCCCTCTCTCCTCCAACTGGCTGSTGCAGCAAAGACCAAGACCCTCCTGGTCTTGGTGTRCSTTGTGCCCTTRGAGACACCAAGGGCCAGGTATCACTCCCTTCTCCCCTCTCCCTCTACTAACCCACTCTCCCTACCTCTCCTCTCTCCTCTTACTCACCCCTTCTCTTTCCCCCACCTTCCACTGCATCTTTACTCTCCTCCTTTTATCTTCCCCACCCCACCTTTCTCCCAACACCCATTCTTTAACTCCCCTTCTTTTATTTCTTTCTTTTCTTCCTCCTTTTCTCTTTGCTACTTGATCCCTGTCCACCTTTCCCCATCCCTCCTTTCCCCCAACTACCACCACCCCATCCCCCTACCTCCCACTTCATCTTTTTCTCTCCCCCCACCTATTTCTTTCTTTTCTCCCTCACTTTTCATTCCCCTTCCCCCCTACTTCGAAAATTTCTCTGTTTTTCTTCTTTCCACCTCTCTTTTGATTTATCTTTTCTCTTTTTTTAAAAATGCGAAATATCTTCTTTCCCACCTTCTTTTCTTATTTTTTGATTTATTTAATTTATTTTTCTATTTATTCTGAAAAATTTCATTTTCTCTAAGGCAACCCTAAATCTGATAAGTTAGTTTTCTCATCTTCTTCCCCACCCTCTTTTCTTATTTTTTTGATTTGTTTTATTTATTTTTACTTATTCTGAAAATTCTTGGCGGCAACCCTAAATCTGATTAGGTGTTAGCCTTTCTTGCTTTCCGCACACGTTTTGACCCCGTGGGGGTAACGAAGTGCTGCCGAAATTTTCTGATTTTCTCTTACTTAGTCTTTTCGGCACACTTCGACCCCATGGGGGTAACGAAATGCTGTCAAAATTTTAGAAAAATCAGATAACCCATTTCTCCCCACCTCCTCACACACTTATTTACTTATTTATTTATTTATTATTTATTTATTTATTTTCTGAAATTTCTTTTTTATTTATTTATTTGCGGCATCTCTAGTGTGCACACCTCGGTCTCTCCCTTTCCCTTGGCACATTCTTGACCCCGTGGGGGGTAGGGAAATGTTGCCGAAAATTTCAAAAAAATAAATATTGTTTCTCTTCACATCTTTTTACTTTTTTTTAAATTATTTTTATTATTATTTATTTATTTATTTATTTTTATTTTCTCTCGAAATCTCGCTGTTTATTTATTTTTCTTTCGTCTCCCCTCCCCCCCTTATGCTTGCTATTTTACTTTCTTGATTAGGTCACCGGTACCCTACCCTAGCCTTAAACCTCGGTTAGGGTTTTCTTAGGGTTTTTGTAGGGTTTAGGGTTCCTCAAACCCCCCTCTACTTCCCCGTCCTCTTCGGGCACCCTGGACCCGAACCACCCCTCCCCCTTTGACGGCGCCCGTGCTAGCCTTGCTAGCGCCGTTCGCCGCTTTCTACCGCGGACTTCCCCCTACGCCCTCCGCTCACGCGGACCTCTTCTGGCCCCCTCCAGTCCGGTCCGTCATCTCCCCATGGCCGACGGTGCGTCACACGCCGTTGACACGGCGATGACTAGGGCATCGGACTCCACACCCGTGCCGGCGGACCAGGGCCATCAGCCCCAGGGGGATCTACACACCCTCCTCACCTCCCTCGGGCCCCATGCGGCCCGGGCGCACAGTCAGCTGCGCCCCTTTCTCCAGGACCTGCGCCGACTTACTCAGCCGTGGCACAGGCCTCCGCTCCTCGATCCCATCGCCGCCAAAACGGTGTTGCACCACTCATCCGCTTGTCGGACATTGCCTTGTATGACGGTACAGGCATACACGTGTCTCGGTGGCTGCAGTCTGCCMCCCGCACACTCCAGCTCATGGGCGCCACACCCGAGACGTGGGTGGGTCACCTCTCCACGCGCCTGCGTGGCGGTCCTTTCGAGGCCTGGGAGGATTTCTATGCCTACTCCCTTCGTGAGGGTCGGACTCCAACCTTCGTGGATTTCCAGGCGTTCCTCGAGAATCGCTTCGGAGTCCGATACGACGTGACTAACGCCTACGAGCGTGTCGTCACTACACGCCGGTCCAGCGCTGGTGGCGTTGCCGGCCTGGATCACTACATCCAGGTCTTTCAGGACGCCCGCCTCGTTTGCGACGTGGCGTTCCTCCCCGAGGCTGACCTTATCGATCGTTTCTTGGTCAGCCTTCCGCTCGAGTACCGCTCCGAGCTATGGCGGTACGAGTTCACATCGGCCCCACAGCCTTACGAGGCCGCCACGGACCACCAGCGGATGCGAGCCCGTCTTCACCCCGCCTCCTCCTCCCAGCCCCAGCGCACGGGCTACGCCTCCTCCTCCTCTCACGACACTTCCCA